TCCAGTTTTTCGCATTTCACAGGCAACCACTTAGGGAGTCCTCAAATTTGCCCTAAAAATTGCAATTACTGCTCTTGCACTGAGGATTTATGAGCAGCAGAACATCCTATTTGCCCACATGTGTGCAGAGCTGAAGGTAAGGGCACGTGAAGCATTAAATGTAAAAAAAAAAATAAAAAATATTTAGCATTTAGTTTCAAGTGCCATTTTTGAACAGCTGATTCTTGTTGCTCCATTGTGTCTGTGTGTGTAAATTGTGGTGGGAAAATAGTGACTTAAATCAACACTTTGCTGTGACATGTCTGAAACAATTATTCTTTGAAGACAGGAATATAACAAGAACTCAGGTCTGGGCTGTGTCTGTGGGAACACCTTCACACAAGAATTAAAGGGTGCGTGTTCTAGATCAAAGTAGCCTATACTTCATAATATGTCTAATTACCATACCAGTCATCTTTATTAAGTTCATTTGTTTTAATTAAAAGAATAGATATTTGGCATCAGAGTTTACAAGGTCTGTTGGGCACTTGAGATTAAATCAGTGGTTTGTTAACAATTTTATCTGGAAAGCAGATTAGATTATTTCAATTATGCAAAGTAGCATCGGTTTTCTTTCTCAGTAGAATGAAGTTATGATTAAGAAATAATGCTTGGACCATGAAAGCTCTGCTTGTCATTATTTTTCACATTCATATTTGGGGTTTTAGAATGAAGTTGTTCATCTTTAAACTGGTTTTATAATATTATATCAGATTTGGCAAAATAAAGCAAGTGCTGCAGTGGTGTCTAACGGCAGATGTTTTCCAATAGTGATATGGAAAAACCAATGCTGGATTCTTTATTCAATTGGACCATATTTAAGATTTGTATTGTATTTTTGTACTGTTGGAGCAGTAAGTCTTGTTAATCAGTTCATAAAACGGTAGGATTAAAAAAAATGCACTGAAGGTGTAAAACAGTCAACGCCAGGAGAGTTTGCAGAGTAGCTTAATAAATAAAACATAATTGGATAAAATGGGCAAGTAATGAGTTGAGGGCAGCCCAAATGTGTAATTTCTTGGGGTCAGTGGCAATGCATCAGCTAGCAGTGCCTCTGGGTGAAGCCTGGAGGTGTTGTGGTGTTGTATTAACAGGGCTGTGCTGTTGGGGTGCCTCGTTTTATCCTTCTCCCCCAGCACTTCCAGGGGACGCAGGACAAACGCTGGCTTCAGTGGTGCGCCAACCATGGCACGTGCTTTTGATTTCCCTCAGGAGAGAGGGAGGAAAATGCCTCTTATTAGGAAAAGAAACCAGGGCTGGGGTTAGCAGGGAGGGAGCCATGAGTGCTTGGCACGGTGCTCCCTGCCTGGCTGTGCTCATGGAGCAGCAGCACATGAGGGATGGTGTTGGCTCTGGCCCCACAAGGCCATCACAGCTTCGAGCAGCACTCACCTGCTCCCTAAAGGGCAGCAAACCCCCTCTTCCTCAGATGAAATCTGTAGGCAACATCAGTATTCCTGCTGGAAATAGGAGCACGATCTCTACGCTCACAGCATTCGGTTTTAGCCTTTCCTGGGTGCTGCCGCTGCTTGGGTTCCACCTGGGCACTCGTGTGTGGCTCCTCTGGGGAAGGCAGTGGCAGCTCCCAAACCTGAGGCTTCCAAGATGCCCCTGGAGGCCCCTGCTGTTCCGCCCATCCCTCTTCTGGGAGAGTGAGCTCTGTGTGATGCTGCATAACTAAAACCCATCACAGCCTGGCTTATCAGGCAGCATCGATCGGTAAGGCTGGTTTAGCCCCTCAGTTGATGATGTTAAAAAATAGCAATACCCTCTCCCTAGTAACAAATGCTAATCCATGGGCTACTGATAACGGATCTTCAGACCTGCACCACAATGAGAACCATATAATTGGGCAAAAAAATGGTGTATCCACAAAATTAAGCACACACGCGAGCACTCCCAGTGTCATCTGTCTTCCATACCAAATGCACGGCAGCGCTGGCTGCTAAAACTTGCCATGAATTATTTATATGATGAATTATCCTTCTTTCTCCCCTCCTAGAATATCCAATTGCCCGTTTCCATTTTTGTTTCGGAAAGATTTATTATTCAGGATTTTTTTTTTCACCGGATAACTTATTAAACATTTCCTGCTCTTTTTCTCCACCATACATAACACGCATCTTGTTTCCTGGTAGCACCTATCCATCTGCTCTAACGGGGCCTCCCAGTGTGGGGAAACTGGAAGGAGTGCAGTTTTTACCCAGACAGTTTACAGCTCTCCTTGGGATCCAATTAGAGATGTTCAAAATTTGAGATATTTATTTGCTCATTGCAATCATAGCTGTTTCAGCCCCCAAGGAAGCGATCCACGGCTACAGACTGCATGTGGATGAATAATTTGGTTACTCAGTTCCATGGAAGCCTCTGAGAGGGTGTGAGGAGAAGGTGAGTGCCCAGAGAGAAATCATTTAGAGGTTTTCTTCTCTTCTGCCCCTTTAGTTTCTCGATTTTGCCCCAAAGGCATAAGGAACAGCATTTTACACTTGAGGACTTCTTGCCTTGGGTGTTGTACGTGACCATGCCTGGGACCTGTTCCTGTAAATGATTGTGAATCATTTCTGGTTCCAGGGAGGAATGTTTCAATGCCAATTTTCTGGGAGCTGGGATAGCAGCTGGGACTATCCCAGCTACTATTTAATGGATTTCAAAGGAATCACCTACACGGCAGAATTTTCTGTGTTTGGCTTTCATTGCTTGGTTTCCATTTAGGAGGCTGCCCCAGTATTCCTTTCAGACATTCCCATAGTTTCCAGCATCTAAATCCCAAATCTGCTTCCTCTATCTGCACTGAATGTTTTTGTACCTTGTAAATTTTGGGAGAGGCGAATCTTGCTGTGGAAGTGCTTTACTGTGCCTCTGGCTCGGAGTCTCACTCTGTGCTGGGCTTTAAATCACGACGGAGATTTACAGCGGTGATAGAGGTGGAACCGCAGACATCCAAAACAAGAGTGATCTGTGCAGAGGAGCTGGTGTGCACACACCCCTGCAAATAATATCCCAGGGATGTCACATTGCTTCCCCTGGAATCAGAGACAGTGATACCCCCTAAGAACAATAGCACTAAAACTGTCCTTGGCTTCAAAATAATCGGTTTGCCTGTGTGTGAAGCGCACGGTCGCCAGAGCTCTTTGGCTGGGTAGCAATATTTTACCTCTAATGACCTCAAACCCGAGCCAGCCGTTTCTGCAGGCTCTACAAAACCCTGTTGTGCCATGAACTGCACCCGGAGGTAGCTGTTGCCTTCACCTGAGCACATCCCTCCCTGCTGGCTCCTGCACGCTCCGAAGGCTTGGGGGGAAGCCCGTCAGAATATACCAGGTTTTCTTCACTAATTTTGGCTTTCTCATTTAGTCAGTTTCTCCCATTTTTGGATGATTGAATCTCCGTGTCTTCTGCATCACAAGAGGAGCACATGTAGTTGGCTGAGATTTTTCTATTGAGGTGTTGCAGTTGGAAGGAAACAGTCCTCTAGGAAGAGAGAAGTCGGGATGCTGTGTGCAAATACCAGGTATTTTTTGGTTCTCCTTAAACATACATAAATGAATCTTAAACTCGTGTCTTTCTCCCTTCCCTAAACTCCTACCCTTAAAACCTATTTGAAAACAATGAATAGAGTTGTTAAATATGTAAAAATAGGGATGTGAGAACAGAAGGATAACTGGATAGGGGCTCCCACAGGGCTCTTTTCCTTAATCCTGGGTTCCTTTTGGTGAACTTATATTTCTGAGCAGACCCTTGAGCAGAATACTGGCTGGCTGGACCCTGCTGCTCTGTGAGTTGACAGAGTGGGAGGTAAGTGGCAGTAACTAATGGCAATTAGCAGAGGTCTGGATGGCTGTGTGTCCCTTAAGGCATGAGCTCTTCTGGGGGTTGTGTCTTCACAGAGTGGAGCTGTTTGTCACCCTACAGAATATGACAATTCGCATCCCTCCGCCGAGGCTTTGCTGTCAGATTTGCTCAGCTGTCTTGCAAGGAGGGGAAAAAAAAATAAAAAAATAAATGTTTATTTAATTTTTGCTCCCCAAATCTGTTGAAATAATAGGGCAGGAATGATTAGCTTCTGGGAATTACCCATCAGCTGCTATCAGTAATAACTTATTTAATGCTTATGTATCACTTGACGTTTTTATGACTGATGTGCCAGAAGGGAAACAAAAAGAAATGGGTTTGTTTTTCAATGGCAAAGGATAGTTTTTGTCTTTTCGTTGCAGCTCTCAGGTAACGGTAAGAAAATTGTCCCTCAGTCACCAACCCTGAAAGCTGCCTCTGACCAAAACGTGAGGAGGGAGAAGGTGAGAGGCTGAACATGCAGCTTCGAGACCCGTTTGCTCAGTTGTAGGAGTGTTTCATAAATCCCATTTCTCACGCATCCTTGACGGTCTCTCCCGCCTCCATCGCTGTTGGGATGTTCCGCAGCGTTCCCGCAGCCCCGGCAGATTCAAGCAGCGGCTGCGTAAAAGGAGAGGAGCGGGAGCGCCGCGTCCCCCGTCCCCCCCGCATCCCCCCCGTCCGGGCTTTGCTTTCGGGCAGGATCCAACCCTCCAAGATGGATGTTGAGTAGGCTCTGGCAGCGCAGCCGGGCGCGGCACAAAGCCGGGCGCTGCCCCTGCGCGGCTCTGCCGGGGGCGGCGGGCCGGGCCGTGCTCCCCGCGGTGCCGCGGGCTCCCCCCGGGCCCGCCCCTGCGGTGGCGGTGGCGGTGGCGGGGCGGGGCGGCCGCGCCCGCGGGGCACCCCCTGCCCGCCCGGCCCGGCGGCAGCAGCGAGACGCGCCGGGCGCCGCCGCTCCGCGCCCCCTCCGCCAAACTTTTGCCGGAGCTCGGCCGCCCCGCGGCTCCTCCCGGGAGGCGAAGCCGGAGCCGTGCCCTCGCCCCGGGCGGTGGCGGGTGCCCGGGGGGGGGCTCCCGGCTTCTTTCCCCAGCTTTTTATTGTTTTTCCTGGTTTGGGGTTTTTTTTTTTTTTCCCTCCCTTCCCCGCGGGGAGGGGTGGGGAAGGGAAGGGGCTATAAAGCGCGAAGGGACGTGCGTGACACAGTCCCCGCTGCAGCCCGTCTCCGCCGGAGCGGGGGGCTAGGTCAACACCCGCCCCCCTAAAAAACAAGCCAAGCCTCCCCCGCCGCGGGAGGGACAGCCCGGGACGCGACGGGACCGGACGCCGCAAGGTAAGGCACCGGCAGCGGGGCGAGGAGCGGCGCTGCCCGCGCAGCCCCCTCCGGTTGCCCCGGGGCGGGCGGGGGGCTCGGTGCCCCGAGCCGGCTGCGGGACCCTCGGCCGGAGCGGGGCCGTGGCCGCGGCCACCCTGGCGCCGTCCCTGCAGCCGCGGCTGCGGCGCTGAGCCCGCGTCCCGGCAGCGCTCCGCCGCGGCTTTTGCGGGATGCTGCCGGGAGAAGCCTCGGCGCCCTCTCGGATCCCTCCCTCGCCTTCGAGGTTTGTTTTTCCCTCCCCGTTTTTGCCCTCTCGCAGCCCGCGGCGGCCGGTGCCCCACAGCCCGTGCGGCTGCCGGGGAGCCCGGCTCGTCCTCCGGCGCTGCCGCGGAGCGGGTCTGTGCCAGGCAGGCAGGCGGCTCCGGCTTCGCCAGCATCCTACGTTGTTCTCGGGGAAGAAAAAGTGGCTACCGAAAAAACGCAGACAGAAAACTCTGCGGTGGGATGTAAGTGCCGAGGTTTGCTACGCGCAGCCTTGGTTCTGGTTTTATTTCGACAGCGCGGAGACAATGGCTACAAAGCGTTGTTTAATCACTTGCAGATAGAACTTTTATGTATCTAAACCTTCGCAGTTAAAGGCTAGCGCAGATTTTTGAAAAGCTGTGATGCTCCGAACGTGTTTTTTCTGGACAAATTTAACACTTGAGCGCGGTAGCATGCCCTGGTTCCCCGGACGGGTTAGTGTGGTGCCAGGGATGAGCGTGATCCTGTCTGTGCCTCGCTGCCCGGGGCTGCTCTGGAAATCATCCCGGTGGACACCGACGTGGACTAGGCAGCCTCTGCAAGGCTGGTTTCAGACAGCGGGTCGTGAAGCTTGTAACTTCCCTCGGACTCCCCCTCCCCACCGAAGGAGCTGGTTAGCATCTAGTTACAGTGTTAATTAGAACAATTAAGCAGTATCGCTGTTCTTGTTGCTCGACTGAGCGGCAGGAGGCGAGCTCAGAGGGGAGGCAAGGTCCCTGCCGTAAATTCGCGGACCTCCCTGTCCTGGCTGCTTGTGAGCAGCCACAGACAGCGGGAGGTGTTGAGTGGCACAAGTGTGGCACTGTCTCCGCCGGAGCATCCCGCAGTCAGGCTGCTCCGGCACTGAGCTCGGGCTCCCAGCCTCGATGCACCCATTTCACGCTTGGTGGAGACGGCGGAGTTGTGTCTGTGAAAGTGGAAGGGGCGAGAGCGATGTGAGGATGAATTCCTCCCTGGGAGGTTGGCGGCGAGTGATTTATGGCATCGGTGACCCTGGGCAGGCTCTGCTGGCTTGGCCATAAGCTGGTTTCCATAAAAACAGCCCTTGGGTGTTAGACACCATCAGCACCCTTGGCTGTGCCCTGAGGGAGCAGGGGGGAAAAAACTTTGTGTTTCTGCTCAGCCTACTTTGAAAATCGCTGAATCTGAGCTATTTTAGGAATGGCATTTCAGATTGCTTCTTGTCAGGACTGCCTCATCCTCCCTGCCGCGCTCTCCTACCTCATAGCGAAACACGTACCTGCAGGAGAGCTGCCCAGGTCGGCTTTCTAGTGCCACTACAACTCTCTGAAGTACTCAGAGCAATGTCTAGAATTTAAAACTTGCTGATATTTGAAGCAGGAGAGGACTTTTTAAAGCACTGAGAGATTTTTAGCTTCTAGTTTGACCATTAGCAATGTGGTGAGATGTGCAGTAGCGCATCACGTGCAGTTACCGTGTGGATGTATCCAGGCTCCTGCGGCTGTGTTTGACCCTGTTGTGAGCAAAGTGATAGCTGTTCCTTGTGGGCTTTCTGTGCCAGCAGGTAAGGAGCCCTTCTTAATTTTGAAAGAGCTTTATAATACATCTGCAAAATTCCTTGTCATGTTTCCACGATGAGGACTGTGGATGCATCCCACTCTCCTTGTCTCCATGCGGCCCTGGACAGAAATCCCGTTGATCTCTGTGCTGTGGAGGGTGGGCACTGCAGCGTGTCATCGCAGCCCAACCAGTGAAGGGACAAAATATGCATGTCCCACTCCTGAGAGGGGACATGCCAGGCTCTGCCCGCAGCTCCCTGGCACCAGCTACACCTGGCAGGCGGTGGCACACACGTGTGACGTGCTGCTGGCGTCATGGGCCAGCAGGTCACCTCATACCTCAGCTTCCCTGGGGAAGGTCAGGATTTGGTGGTCAGATGAGAGGGAATTTGAGCACTGTGTGGGATGCTGATCACCCTGAGATGACTACAGGCCCCTTTATTTAACTGTGAGAAGTTTGTCACCGAGGCGAGGCAGAGCTGCGTAGGATCGCCCCGCGCGCCTGTGTTCTTGTGGGTGAGAGCTTCGGAAATGCTCGGAGGAAAAAGCTCTGAGGTTTCCCCAATGTTTATAAATACAATCTGGTGCAAACTGTCAAGCAAGCTGTTCAAAATCACGTCACGCCTGCGCTGCCTTCCCAGCTCGGCTTAAATGCCTTCGCCACAGAGCTGGTGTTCATCTGTCCTTTGGAGCTCCCGGCACGCAGCTCCGGCCCATCTGCGGGGCTTTCCCAGCACCCAGGCTGGGGATCCTGAGCTGTGTGCAGGAGCAGAAAGGGCATCTTCAAGTCCCCTTTGTCCTCCTTAGAAGGTTTGCCTACCTTAGATGTCCCCTAAAAACGATGGGATAAACCCTTTGCTGGAAGCTCCATCCATGCAGTGGCTTTCTGCTCCATCCCATGCCCTCAGTAGGGCTGGATGGAGGCTTTTTGCAGGATGTTTCACTCTGAAGTGTGCCAGGGTCTTCTGCCTTAATATATATATAAAAAGATGAGATGTTTATTAAACTCAGGCCCTGCTTTTTCTTGCACGATTTATGTCCCGAGAGGCTGGCGATAAACAGTTTATTAAAAAGAAATCCTGATTTATTTCTGCGAACGGTTACATTTCAAGCTGGTACCAAACGGTTTCGTAGGAGACCACCTTTTATGCTTCCCATGGCAGTTGAAAGGATTGCTAGAAAAACAATCCAGAATCTAAGGAGGTTTGGATAAAGGCAAGCCAGGACTGTACGTCAGGGTATGTGGCGCTTTTATGCAGCGAGGCGGTGGATTTTACCACGGAACATCTGGGCACTGGCTTCAGTTACAGCACAGATTTTAGTGGGATAACAAGTCTTGCTTGGCTTCGCGTTCATTTTGAAGTCACTAAACTTTATACGAATAATAAAACTCTAAGCCCATTACTTCACCGTTTGCAAGGGGCTGTTTCAGTCCCCCTTCGGGCTCTCGCATCTTTCTGGAGCTGGTTTTATTTTGCTGTGCTAAGTGGGTATTTATCTTCTGAGTGCCTGGCTCGCTTTCGAGGGAGGCAGCTTCGCTAATTTGTAGCGATGGCCACTCCGGGGAGGGCGGGCGCGTTTCCATCCGCCCCCGCCGAACGCGCACGTTTTCTGCATTAGGGGCAGCCTGGTGAAAGCCGCAGGTTTCTCCTTCACGGCGCTCGATAGAGCTGAGGTTGGTGACCTGGAGGGCGACAGAGCTGCTCTGGGCTACCAGCTCAGCCACTGGTGAGAGTTAAAGTAACGGGGGAGGGGTTGCTTTCTTTTCCTGTTTGATTACAAAATGCAGAGGAGAAGAGTAGAACGGAGTGAAGGAGGGCAGGGCAGCCTCTTTTGTACGAGAAAACGAGTTTGCAAGGCCCTTATAGATGGGAATGCCCCAGCCTCGGGGAGGATAACCCCAGCTAGTTAGATCTCAAGGAATACATGTTTGGAATGTAAGTTCCATGTGAGAACGTAGATACAGGCCCTGAGACCGACGTTTAAGTTGGTCATGGAGCACCCGGTGTGGTACTGAATGCTGGTGAGCTCTGTGTTTTGGTGGCACTGACTGTACGGGCAGGCATAAACCAGAATAAATCAGAATTGCATCCAAGGAAAGAGAATATCCCAGGTAAGACCAGTGAGAAGGGACTTAGGTACTGCTTGAGCTCGGCTAACTCATGAGCAGAGCAGTGAGCGAGCGAGCATCGCTTTGGGGAAAAGGCAGAGTGCAGAAAGTGTTCTGTTTCACATCACGACTGAGATGTACTTCTGTGGCAAAAGTCCTCATTAGATCCAACAGGGATAGCTTTTGCCTGAGAAGATGACTGAAATAAGCTTGTGGATGGATGGATGGATGGAAGGAGCTTTGAAGGCTGAGGAGATGTTATGTTTGAAAACTTTAACAAAATATCATCAGAGGAAGTATTTGCCCTTAGATTGGGAAACAGGTCAGGATAATAAATCGTAACTCCAGGAGAAAGTGCTTAAAGCTGGAACTACGTTCAGAGGGGAGAGAAAGAGAGTAAATATTAGAAAGAAGTTTGTTCTTTCAGAATTAATTTTCTCATTTGCTGCCTGCAAGGACACCCACCGAAGAGCAGAAGGATAAATGTTAACACAGAGCTGTAACAGGAACCAGCTGAAAATCTCATGACTGCGTGGATGGCTTTGATTGCTCCGCAGGGAGCACGTCGGTCATGTGGGACATGTCAGAAACAGGCAGCTTCATGTCACCTCATGTGTGAGGTAGCTGATAGTCCAACTTCACCAAAAACCTGATGGGGGGCATTTTACAGGATGGGTTTTAAATTACATTGGAGTTACCGGCAACACGAGCGGCCTGAGAAGCCAGCCCTGCTCCAGGACTGCTTCACCAAACACAAACATGCCTGAGTTACCAGAGGGTTGCAGCAGATCCTGCACAGAGCATCTCGCAGTGGGCTCTGGCCTTCCACCTAGGCAGGTATTTTCAGCATTTCTCACTGATTTCTCAGGCTTCTTCAGGTTTGGCCTGACCTGGGACTGCTCTGGCTTCAGGGTAATTAAACTCAGTGGTTAGAGAGATGTTTGTTGCTTGTGTGACAGCTGAGATAGGAAGCAGTGGGTACTTGCTGTGAGCACCTGGAAAACAGAAAAGCAAAAGGCAATAATTTATCTCTCCTGCCTCATTCCCTGCTCCAAGGGGCCGGATATGAGTGCCCCTCCGGTGTG